GGGGGGGGGGGGGGGGGGGGGTGTTAGACATTGATCTACCAATCTTTAGTCCCGAGCAGGCTCTCAAGCCAGTCCCTTTGCTTCGCAAAGCAAACTCAGGTAGTCCTTACCAGGCTTGATATGCGTAAGTCTGGTGTGTGTTTTGGTGGATTTGTTTCGTTGTGGTATCGTGGGTGGGGGATGATTACGATTGTATCCTCGATTATGGCGTAACCTATTTGGACCTGATTGCCTGTGTAGGCCTTGCAAATGCGTATGTTCATGGGCCTTGCAATCTTTTTCAAAGCATGATGTTTCTTGTATTTTACAACATGTTTCCATTGTTGCTCCCTGCAGGCCTCAAATGTCAAAACAATTCAAAACATATCTTTCCACCTGGTGTGTGCTTTGGTGGGCTTGTTCTGTTTTGGGGTTGCGGGGTTGTGATTGTAATTGTGTCCTGGGTCATGTGTTCGTTTCACCTGGGTCATGCTTTGGGATTGTTCCTGCCATTTTGATCCAAATTCTGTTCCCCTGCGCCAGAGGGTGGATAAACAGAATGTGAATAGAGCCTGGCAAACTCCAAGTGTCCAACCCCTCCAACCCATATAGGGGCCCATGAGCTGGTTGTAACGGCCCCATCCCTGGTCTTCGAATCATGCTACATCTTCAAACTCCCTCCCCCCTTCACGCACCAGGGCCTTTTGGGCCTGGAAGGGGGTGTAAGTTACCTTGTTGAAGGGGGTATGAAATTGTAAGTTACTTTTCTAAGACCCCTCCTCAAATCCATGGTTAAGGGGGTGGGGATATAGTATCTGTTTTTGCACACCAATAACATCATTGTGCTAATTGCCCTCGTCGTGTTGACCAACCAGCCAGTGTCCCGATTCTCGGGTCTGACTGGACACTAAGCAATCTCAAAATTGGAGAATATTGGTCTCTTGCAAGTGAGTTGCTCTCACCATTCCAGGTTGCAAGTTTGCACACTGTCGCATCTGCTGGTAGGTTTCCAACACGCTTCAAAAACTCCTGGATAGCAAGGGAATGATTTAGTCTGAACTCTGAGGCGACTGTTTGCCTAGTTCGCCAGTGGTTTTGCAAAACGCTTGCTCAATTCATATGTTCCATTTGCCCAAGGCTATGTTCTCATTGTCAACTGGGATTTGATGTTAGAGGTGTTAAGCAACTGTTAAGCCTTGAGTAGCAGCGTCTATTGCAGTTTGCATGAGAAGACATATGGAGATGCAGATGCATTTGTTTAAAGGTCGCATCTACTTTAGGTAAAATTACAGGAATTGCTAACCATTACCGCCTTCCTCCCGCCTTCCGCATCACTTCCGCCCCACGTGTCAAAGCGTCCTTCCATTTGGGGATTGCTTCCGTCCAGATCGCAGGGATGGCATCCACTGCCTGCATGTTTGTGGCGTGTTTGTGGACAGGAAGCGAGCTAGCTACACTGAAGAAACCAGCGAATCGGAATGACTGGTCATCTGGTTGAATTGGTTGGTCATCTGGGCACTTTTTACAGAACTTTGTGTTGGAGCTTCTTCTCGTAAAGACCCTTTGACTTCTTACGTAGAAGTTCTGACGTTGCCCACAATAGTTCCACATGCTGGGTGCTGACCTTGCAGTTGTCTTTGCAGATGGAGAAGGTATCATTGGTACCTGGCAGGCAATTCTGGCTGGTTTACCTCCTGAAGTATTGAAAAAACATGAACAAAATCGCACTCTTTCCATCTCTTTCCTCTTCTTTCACCCCACCACCTCAATATGGATTGGATGGCTTTTGGGGGGGACGTCCAGGATCCGCACGTCCCAGGCACTTGCTGCTGCTGCTGCGCCTGGCTGATCGGCAGTCATCGATGCAATCGAGTGACGACACGGGGCTCTGTCACAAACCACGCACATTGGACCCGTTGCCTTGCTTGTTTCTAATAGCTTCTTGTTACTACTAGTAAGGCACTTGTTACTAGTAGCGATGCACTTGTTACTAATAGCTTCTTGTTACTAATATGTTGAATGGGCGTAAAAACACTTGTAAAAACATGTAAAAACACCCCTGACCCTTTGATTCCTTTTTGTTGGGTCGTTGACCCTTCTGAGGATGTCACTGCTGTGAGGCATGTCAATTCCGCTAAAGCACATCTGCTTGACACAACTTTAAAGTACTTTGCCATGCTGCCGCATCGCTGGTAGCCGCGATGAGAAGGAACTGATGAAGATCTGTGATGAGATTTCTCCTGCAGATCATTCCAGTGATGCAAGTCACAGCAGCGAATAAGGCAAAGAGAGTCTCTTGAAGTCACTCTTGTGATGACCTCCTTTTGGAAAATACGTTTGCAAACATGTCAAAGTGACAGGTTGACTGAGTTGATTGAACCACAGAGATTGAAGAATACATTCGGTCTAGTCACTCACAGAACTTCTCAACTGTTGAATCACACCACCTATGACAGCTTGGAGAACCACCTATGACAAACTGTTGAGACAGAACCACCTATGACATCCTATGACTACATGCTTTTCGGACATGACTGGGCCCGGAGAATCCTTCGGACATCCAGTCCTTCCGTTCTGAGTCAGATAGGCTTTGCGCCGGTGCCTCTGTTCAGCGGGTTTACAAGCTTCACATGATTCACGTGTGTATTATAAGAACGGGATAACTTCTGGCCCTGGCTGGGTAGCCTACTAGACTGGTCGTCCTTTCCCCTCTTCCAGTGGGTCGTTGCCTGGGAGGTCTCCACACCAAGTATCTCATGACTTGATATAGGCATTTTGTGAACCCAAATCGTATACTCTGAGGGCAACCTAAGGAGGCAAGGCTACCACTGCACTAGAAGGTGTTGTACAATAGAAGATAGTGTAAAACCATGTAAACAATCGCTTTAGTCAATACATTAATACTGTACTCATCAGTTGAACATCGCAAGGTGGCTCAACGTAGAACTTGACGGCTCCGAGGCACATGTGCCTGGTGGCTATACAAAATTCGATGTTCGGTGATCGACTTGATCAACTTCCACTAATCAATCTCACAATTGTCATTCTAACTTGGAAGAGGGGGAAAGCGGATGTTCAGTGGCTATTGGACCGTATGTTCCTCTCTGAGACGTCCAGCCTCATGCTTTGCGCTCTTGCCTGGCATGTCTCTTCCAGTTCCACAGCTCCAGATCATGATTCACCCCTAAACCCTAAGCCATGGCGGACTGCATTCTGTCTTGTGCTCCTGTCTACGCAATTCAAAAAGGCCAGGTGCAAACGTCTACCCAAAGTGTTGTGCCTGAGCTGCGCATACTAAGCACAACCTGGGAGCGGCAAGTGGGCTTCAGGTTGAGGTTTTGGGGGGCATGCGTGTTCAGTGGCTAGAGTGGTCTCTTATTGTGGAAAAAGCCTGGCGGAAGGCAAGCCTTGGATGAGTTGGACACAGAAGGATGTAGGCCTAGAAAGGGATCTACCACAAAACAAGACCTGTCTGTCTGCATACAAATATGAGACAGGTGTAACTACCTCAAGATTGGATGGAACCGGCCTCATGGATGTGGCTCTGAGGGCAGGAGTAATTACAGTACTGAGCATCATCAACTGAATCCTGAAGCAAGCATCTTGCGGTGGTTCAGGAGTGTGTGGGCCCTGACAAATTATGCACATACCAGTTGCGGCCAAAATCTGCCTGTTGAGCTCCTTCTCTAGGGTCCCGACAGGTGTTTTGACCTTGCTCAAGACCTTCTGAGACTTCCTTGCGAAGGACCTATGCGGCAATGGCAAGCTCCAGAAATGTTTAGAACTTCAGATTGATTACAGTGGTTTCAGAGTAAATGGCACAACCCATCAATTGTCTTTTAGATGGGACCGGACATTGGGGTCTGTGCCATCTACGCTCTAGGAACAAGTGCATCGCTACTAGTAACAAGTGCTTTACTAGTAGTAACAAAAAGCAAATTCAAGCAATAAGCTACAGTACTAGGAACAAGTGCCTTACTTTCACGTCTTGGGAACGCAGAGTCCTCAGCAATCGCTGGCGATTTCACACGACAAGAGCGTCCTGAGACCGGTTTCTGAGAATCCCTGCTTGAGCTGCGACTTGGCCTCTTTCTACACTAAATCACCCCAAAGAGGTGACTTGCCAAACAAGCAGCTCAAAAAGTCAATCTGCAATATTCTGTGAACCTGAAGGAGTTTCACAGAATGAATGAAGAACACGTTCTACTCTTATTCACAAGCCCTCTCTCTCCCACTCTCATTCAGTATTCCTACAGTGGGCTGAAAGCATGGCAACTGTTGGTGAATACAAAGTAGTAGTGAAAGTCTAGAAACAAGAGCAAGAGTACATAAAAGAAAGGTAAGGCCCCTTGATATAGGGCCTTATCTTCAATACCTTCTGTTTATAATCCCATTCATTAAAACGTGTGCAAATTCAATACCTCCTATTCAAAACCTAAAAGAAAAAGAACATAGTTGCTTTATTGTTACTAGTAGTAAGGCCAGGAGCCACTAGTAGCCCCTAGTAGCTTCTTGTTCCTAGGAGAAACATGGAGAAACCATGTCCCGGCCTTGCTCTTCTCCTTTGGGTCACCCGGAGGCTCTAGTGAGAGTCCCGGGGTTAAAGGGTCCGAAGGCACGCGTGGCGGTGGCAAGGACGCCTGGAGAGAGGGGTCATGTTGTTCATTGTTCTTCCATACAACCAGTTAAGTCGCAAAGAAGGGCCTAAGTGGCAGCAACGCTAGCAATCGTTGCTTGACCAACTTGACTGAACAGGCACAAATAACCTTTCTGTGTTCACGCACCAATTATTAGAAAGTACCCAAACGAGACTCACAACAAAGATGAACTATGAGTCACACGAATCTCTGAACAACACCAATGGTTTTCAGAGGCTAGTCCAATTATTGCAATGGACTCAAACTTATAGTACAAATGTTTTTCTTATAGTACAAGATTCTGAAAGCATCGAAGAATGCTCTTGCTGTGCTTTGAGCCACTCTTCAAGGCAGAAAGTCCCTCTCCCAGCCTCCCAGAAGGTCAGGTCTTGGCCTGTGAGCACAGGAGCTTCAGAGCCACCTGGAAGAGTTGCACAACATTTGAAGCACACCGAGTTGGCCCATTTTCCAAGGTGTCAACAACTTCAGCTACATTCGGAAGCTTGCGAACACACGATCACTTCACGTCCCTCTTCTTTTGGTTTTCTTCTGTGACGGAACCTCTGCAACCACCTGTTTGGCTGTTGCAAACCTCCCAACTGTGTGCCAGGCCATCTGTGTTGAGCAGGAAGCGGCACTGCGTTCGGCCACCTCAAAATGGCTTGTGAGAGCGCGCGAGTGTGAGAAAGAGAAAATAACCAAATTATTCAAAGCAGTATCATGCAGTAGCAAACAAACAACTAAAAACATTGATGTTCATCTAATATCGCAATTGTTTGAACATTTGAATATGATGTTCAAGCCTGAGCCTCAAACGGTCCAGGTCACGTTCTAAGAAGCAGGAAGGAAGGCGAGCAGCACCGGAAGGAGAGGTGATGGCTTGTTCCAGGTCACTGAGGAAGCGATTGGTGACCTGGCGACAATGTGCAGTACACGTAGTCAACCTTCCTTGGCACATCAATAACAATAGAATACAATAGATATATACATGTGAGATGAATCAATCCTTGGAGCATCTTAAAACCCAAATGAAAACAAACATGTTTGCTGCGATATATCACGAGCAAGCATGCAGCGAATCCAATACAGGTTCAACATCAGTGATCTTGCGGAGTCACACTTATGTTGCGCCTCACGTCATCAATATGCAGCATAGGGCACAGTTCTCCATGTGGGTGCTCCATACAACTCTTGAAGAGCAATAACGAGTTTGGTGACAAAGCCTTTGCGCGTGGTGTATTGACCGGCGACATGCCTTGAACTCCATGGCTGAAGCAACCAACGCCTTGCAGCATAGAACAATGAACAATGTAGACATCCGCAAAGCAGTGTGATTCATTTGTTGAACCACTACGATTCAACAGCAGTATAGCAAATACAGTATCTGCCTATCTGCACCACTATAATACCAATACAGCAAAACCACTGGTCACTCGATCACATGGCTTCAAGTACGTGCAAGAAAATGCAAACGGAACCCCGAAATACCTGAGCAAGTATACAACTAACTAACATGGACAAGAAATGACAACACTCCTCAATGCTATTTTCATACACATCGAGCAACATCGATTTAAGTATGTTTATATTAATCTATTTATATATATATATATACTGATATACAGTATACACACACACGGCACTGCATACCCAACAAATTGTTGTCACTCTTCCTCTGTGTGAAACTGCCTCTGGGGACAGCTGAGATCGCTGGCACAAGCAGCGCAACCTGCCATCGGCAAAACGTGATTTGAGTCGCAGCACAACTGCTTCGGCGGCTCAACGAACTTGGGCGCTCCACACCTCTCAATCGTTGCGTCAAAGCCCTTGCCAAGAAGATCTGCTCGTGCCTCGGACACAGATTTTGCCGAAAAGCAGCGGCAGTGCTGCAGTGCTGGCTGGAAAAACCCAAGGAACACCTTGCAGGTAGATACAAGCACCAAAGCTGGAGATGTCGTCAGCAAATGACTCAAGGATTGGGACTGTGTGACACGAAGCTGCCGATTTGCACTGCACTACCATGCAAGTCCATATTCCGGAAATACCATGAAATACCGTCCCGACTCAATCCATGGTTTGGTCTTATGTTTTTCCTCCAAAATCAGGAGCATCTTTGATTTTGAGGTCTGCATCCTCACGATTTGCCATGGAACTTACGAAAGCTGCCATTTGTCCACAAGAAGAGCCATCAGATTGGTCCCTTTTCTTATCGAAACCACAAAAAATGCCAAATGTACAACTCAATCGGTGTTCGCGGAACACCATCTTCACCTTGATGCATGTGGAACACCGGCCATCCAACCCACCCAGCAACACCCGGCCTCCTTCAACAGTGCCAAGCCAACTCGATGGATAAACCTGGGACGCAAAGAGACTCTTTCTTAGGCACGAACTCTCGGGGACTCATATTAAGAAGGGATATTAAATTTTAAGCTAGCCATTTTCTCCTCGGCATGCATTGTTTGCGGCAGCCACTCCGATGGCACAAGTGGCCCAGCAAAAGAGTCAGCGAAGGTCAGATGGATGACCAGTGATGTCACTCCTTGGCTGTAGTCTCTGCCGACACCCATCTGGTCGTCATGCGAATCAAGCTGCACGTGCCATGTTTGCCTCAGTCCGACCCCTCCTTCGAAAGATTGCTGTAAGATTGCCTCCTTCCTGCGTTTTGTCGCGGATTTGGTGTGGTTACACATCGGTGGCCAAAGAGTTCACCATCGGAGTGAATCGAGAAGTTGCGACGACGTAGAAGTTGTTGGCCACACCAAGTGATGGCAATGCTTGCAAAGGGTCTTTTCCCAGCAGAACGATTTTTTTAATATTCAGGACCCATCTCTGGGGTCAGGTTCGATCTGGTTGGATCTTGAGCACAGCATCAAAATCTTGCCTTAGATTGAGAGGCACCTATGTAGATGGCCAAATCAACTGAACACTTTGTTTTTCTGTGAGTTTCAATCTCCGTATGAATGATGTGAGCATACAAAAAATATCGCCCCAAATAGCAACAAAGGAACGGGACTCCGTAGATGCACCCGTCTCTGGCCAGAACAGCACCTTGAAATTTGTTCCAGCCTAGGCGGTCTGTCACTTCTCAACCCTTTGAAGGCTTTTTGCCCGCAATATCGATACTGATTGCCACTCTAGCATCAATCTCTTAAATTCAATTCAAATCTCACCTGGTAAACATGGTGTTCCTGCAAAGGCAAGGAGGATACACACAAAACTGCCACAACCGCCATCAAGATCCTATATAATTGACACTCATTGCTCAATCACCCTTCTTATACTCTTTCGAGCGTTTCCTAATGAAGCGGCGATGCTCTTGCGATCAAGACCTTCTCCCCAGCATCCACAATCCGAATTCCCAAGCATGTCGGAAAACCGACGAAATTACCACACCTAATTTCTAATTGCGTGGCCAAAACGCCGTGCAATTCCTCACCAGGGACTGCGGCTATGCTTTGACCATCAGAAGACACACGCAGCACCTGCTTGGCCTGGCCTAGGCTGTGCAATATCATTCAGCAGTGGATGGAAAAACTAAAACACAAGGCTGTTGGCCGTTGAAGGCCAATTTTGCATTCTGTTTTCAAGCTCTTAGAGGGGTTGCCGGCCAATACAATTTTAGATTTGGCGAAAAGAGTGATTCATGATTTCATGGGCTTCACGAATTGGCTTGAAACAGCACTGATCCGAGTTACGCGGAATGAAATAAAGTGCACCATCATTGCCACGAACTCCACCTCCGGCGTGGATTGAGATGGTGGGCTTTGGAATGCTTGGCATTGGTACCCTACTAATACGTGAGGTCAGCGAAGTCACAATAGGGCTGCCACCCAACAGCAGGCTGCTATGCCACCCTATAACACCATTCTGCCGCCACCAGCAGCCTAGGAACAAATTACAAAATGGACGATTTGTGGCGCCTTGCCACATATTGGGACCTTTGATCGGAACATCTACAAGGTCCACATCCTCATTGAAGGGTGAAATCCTCAGCTGCACGAATCCACTTGTGGCTAGGGGAAGCTGCGAATGCCTAGCCTGAATAATGTTTTGACACCTTGGCTAGAACATGGCTAGTGAGAAAAGAAACGGTGAAGACTTTCTGACATTGCATCCAAGTTGAGAAATCGTCAAGGCATATCAAGGTTCTTCAAAGCGCTAAAGTTATTGAGACCCTATTGGTATTGGTGATTCGGTTCTTCCCTCGGAGCCGAGCCACTTGAGGATCTTTGGCGCGTTGTACGGGATCCCGTAGAGGCACCCATCGCATCCCAAAACCGCTCCAAGCCATTTGTACTTGCCGAAGATCGGCCCTCCTGGGAGATGCGTAGTGTGGAGTGGAGTGGCCAGGTCTGTTTTGTTTTAAAACATGAATCAGTCCACACACTCACACAATTTTTGTAAATGTGTAATGTAGTGTAGAAACAAGAAATAGCATTGTAAAAAAAACAAAGGAAACATCCCCTACAGCTGAGCATGGATCTTCCTATCAAGTAACGGCAAGATCGCAAGATGTCGCAAGTTCACCCACAAGCCATGTGTTATCCAAGCAAAGTTTTCTGAAATGCATGAACGTGTTCAAAGCGCCACGCGAGCATCACAGCACGGCAATGCGTCGGTAAATATGGTAAATCACATGTGTCCACACATGCACAAGCGTGACAACGCCGCAACATGCAAAAACCAGGCCAGGGACCTGCGCCGGAATCAGCCCTGTAACCTGCCAGCATGTCAGCTCGGCAGCATGACCCGACTTCAGCATATCAGCCTGACAGCATGTCAGCATGACGGCGTGACAGCATGCCAGAGTCACATCATTTCAGCATATCAGTGTGGCCACAGGTTAGTGTCTTCATGTCCACGTGGCAGCTTTATTAATATATAAGACGCCATCACGACACCATGTCGGCATATCGGACAAACAACAAACCTCAGCGCGTCAGCATGACAACATAACATGCAAAAAATGTACGTCGGTTAGTCTGACAGCGACAAAGCGACAACAGGTTAGTGTCGACATGACGGCGCACACACCATACAAGATTTCACACACCAGCATGTTAGAATATCTGCAAAGTACTCCCAAACTCTGGAACCTGCTCCAGAAGCTCCGGGATGGAACCTGCTCCAGAACAGAACACCAGAACTTGCACCGGAACCTGCTCCTATCTGGTCTTTACTGTACTATGGCTGAAGACCCCCAGGCTTCGCAGTTGGGGAATACATATCCTGAATCTGGAACATGATCGTTTGCAGGAGGCTAATGAATCTAGATAAGGAGAACATCTAACAATCTGGATGAAACTCCGATTCAAACTTCAAACTTCTTGGACATAGCTCCACAATTATGCGTTTGAGCGCTCCTATGCACTTCACTTCTCCAGTTTCAGGTCGAATTGTCAGAACGCTCTCTGCATGTGCAGGAATTCCATAGATAGCACCATCAGTTCCCAGGGAACCCCCATGCCATTTCCTGCAGCTTCAACTGACACAAGCAACTTGCCCAAACTTGGGCGCAAAAAGACATGATGTCACAAGCGTTATCTCAGTTGCCGTGGGGGGAATGTTTCTCAGGCGCTTTTTTGTTTGTAGTTTAAAAGCAGAACGGCTGCTCCTGGGAGTGCAGAATTTCACGTTCTTTTCATTAGCAACAGGCCTAGATTTTAAAGGGAAAATGAAGGGAATTAATCATTTGCAAAGGATGAATGAAAGGAATTGATCATTTGTAAAAGGAAAATAACAGGAAATATTACATTTTAAGAATAAAATAACCGTATTACAGTAATCAACTTAAAAGGGAAAACAAAAACACTTATATAGTTATATTTAAAAGGACAATTGAAGGAAATTATACAAATTGCAGGTTGAAAGGGATTCAAAAAAGGGTAAATTACATATGGAAGGAATGAACCATGTTTAAAAGGGAAAATGAAAGGAACTGTTCAATTTTTAATGAACAAATGAAAGGGAATCAATCACAAAAGGGAAAATGACATATAAAAGGAAATGATCATTTTTAAACCTTCTATCTCTGCCATCACAAGAGGGCCAGACTCAAAAGCAACTTGACACTAGATGCTGATAAGCCACAAAACTAGTGCATACATATCTTCAATCACATTCAATCTTCTAAAAAGGTGCACTCCCGCAGCCTGCCACTCTCTTTAAAAAGAAACTCTAGATAATAACATTTGTTTGTCGCCATAAAAACTTTAGTTTTCTGTCTGCTGTCTGTCTTTTGAATTATTCGGCTTTACCTTGGCTTCGAAAATGATTGTTTTTGCAGCTGGAAACTAACTTTTTACTCCTGCGGAAAAAGTTTGTTTCTCGGCTTGAAACAAACCTGTGGAAGGAGAAACTTGAGTTTCTTCCCTATAAACTAACTAGTGCTTCAGTCCCTTCTGATATATATGTACGAGCTTCCAGCGGCCGTCTGGCAGTTCACCAATTGTGGAGACTTGGCCTGGCAGTGGGAAAACACGGAAACCGCTCTGTACTGTAGTTGACTTGACACTATTGGGCCAGGGGGTCTCGCTAGTAAAATAAAATACTGACCCACATGTTCCAAAATGATGGCCTGTTGCAGGGTCGATCTTGAGCACAGATGCTGCACAGTAGGGAATTCCATAGATACATCCATCCCCTGCGAGGATGCCTCCGTACCACTTCCAACGTCCAGGAAAAGAGTCTCCCACCAATTCAATCTGATCGCTCTTGGGATCAATCCGTAGCACTCCTGATGGCAGCGCCGATCACCCGGCATGCCACAATGACTGAAGCCCGACTAGAAAATTTGTGAAACATTGATTGATGGATATTGATTGGCCCTGGCTGGAAGGCTCTTCCTTACAGGCAAAAATGAACACATCTGACAAACACAGATTGAGTCTAAAGGCCGTCTGCGTTAGCAGGTATGCAGTAGATAGACCCATCAGGAGCGACTGCAGCACCGTGCCACTTCCACGTCCCAGTGGGAACAGAACCCACCGCCACAACTTCCTTGCTGCTGGGCACAATCTTCAAAACCGATTCAGCAGCAGCAGGGATTCCGTAGATCTTTCCGTTGGCCATCACTCCGCGAGACCATTTAAAGCGCCCCTCTGCAGTACTTCCAAAGGTCGAAATCTCGCCCGTGTCGGTGGAAATCTGGAGTACCTGGAACATCGGATCCTGTTCTCTTTTCGGTCCGTGGCCGCCGCCCTGCCTCCTTAATTCAGGCGCCTACTTAATTCAGGGAGTAGCGAACTCTATCGCAGATAAATTAGGAAGCTACAGTACTACATATGGACACAGGATAGCGCTCGCACTAACGATTTGATTCCTCATTTTTATGGAAGCTTAACTTTAAAATACTGCAAAGCATTATGGGTGATCTTTGGTCTATGGTGCTCTATGGTGATCTGGAACGTGCTTGCGACCCAAGCGCCGAGTTCTTGTTGCATGGAATGCAATAAATGTTCTTGTCCAAGCCTTCAACGCCTCCCAGCCACTTATTCTTTCCAGACAGAATGCTGTTGCCCTTGTGCAGCAATTCAGCATATGCACCTTGCCGTGTCCTCAGACTGAGAACCCATTTTGTTCGCTAGGCCCATCCGAGACGACGTATAAGTTAAACATAATTATATCATATACATATAATATCATCCAACCCAGTTGAATCAGATTGTATTTATCAACAAATTCATCAAAGATTAGAATGACGCAAAATGTCCCGATCCGGAGAGTAGGGTGGTGCATGCGCAAGCATAAGCACAACCTGCACTGTATAAACAGGCTCATAAGTTAGGGGGAGGGCTCGTAAAAAGTGCCAAACAAACCCCTCAAATCGCGGCCCTTTTAGAGGAAACTGCAAGAAACAGCCTTAGGCCTCGATCTCTGTCCTGAATGGCGAACGTGTTGAGCGTGTCATTCTGCCAACGAAAGGCAAAGCTGTACATCCGATCGAGGCCAAAAGCCCTGCACCACAGGCGCAGGCGGCGCGCCAGGCACACCTTCTCCCGGCCATGGCGGAAGTCCTGCTTCACAGCAAGAGCACTTAATCAAGTGCGAAAACTCAGTGGCTGCAGTGATCCACTACTATGTAATGTTGTAATACTGTATACACATGTACACATGCTGACATATGCATCAAGTGACGTCGCTAGAACCGGGCTGGTTCAAGGAAGGATATGACGGCAAGCCAAGGAGTCAACCCCCACCCCAGAATTCAACAGCGTCAGAGGTTCCGAAGCAATGGCTGATACAGCCATACATGAGGATTGATGGGTGATCATCAAGTCGGACAGTTGATTGAAGCAAGATCAATGCATGAAACAGAATGGTTTTTGTTGGTCAACCCTTCGCAAAACTTCTTGGTACTTGTTGCATCTTGTTGCTATACTAATTTTAGGTGGACACTTTCCTGCTGAAACACGTGGACATTCAGAAAGATATGCTGGGGTCATACCTGGTCAGCTTCACTGGGCTGCCCCCATCACCTCGACACCTCGCCACACCGTCGACCCAAAACGTCTCCGTTCCGATGCGTTCCGACTGGGCTTCAGCCACTTCATGCCCCGACACAAGAACTGGTCCCAAACCTGGGCCGGTCCAGCTGGGAGCGGTCTGAACATTCGGGTGAATCAACGGAATCAACGGGTCGTTATTCATCTCCTATGAGTGGTTTCATGTAATTCAGAGTGGAACAAAGGGTTGGACGTGGGAACAGTGACTGGCATTCACTGAAAAAGAGCAAGATGGACCCCACGAACCCGAATGCAAACACGTTCAAAAAGCTACATATGTCCAAATGACACTCTTGTAGGACACTCTTGTGGGACACTCTAGTAGGAAACTCTTGTGGGACACTC